TGTAGGACTTGATAAAGGATTGCAGCAGGACCAAGACGACACAACTCCATCAAATACAAAGGATTCACAAGTTTCCCCTATTGTAGATGTATTGGAAAAACCAGAATCTTCTAATTCTAATTTATTGCCTACGATCATTAAATGGCTCTTATATATGAAAAGGTTAACTGTCTGGTTTTCAAGAGAGTTCATCAATAAGCCAGCAAAAAAGATTTTTAACAATGCAAAGGCATCATTGGAAAAAAGCAAACTAGGGGGAAAAATATTATTTATTAGGAAAATATGGAATAAGTTATACTTAAAAGGACAAGTTCGTGAGAACCAGATTCGGATGTTGATTGACATCCTCAGTGAGGAAATGGTCAATCATTTACCAGAATACACCAAGATCGAGCCCATAGAGATAGAGAGCACAACAAGCTATGTTTGTGGCACTCTAGGTAAACTAGAAAAATTACCATCGATTCAACTGAACAAGGAGATAGAACCTGAGGTGAAAAAGATACATAAAGGTTATGAAATCATAATTAACTACACCTTTACTGACCTTCACTTTGTTTTTACTAAGTTTTTCATAAGTGTAATGAATGTAAAATCATACCAAGACACAAATCTTGATATTAAATTTGGTGCAAATAATCTCAGACTCACGCTGAAGGTTCCAGAACTTAAAGACATCATTAAAAAAGTCTTTCAAAGACGATGTGTTGTGTATGTGGAAAGCTTTGAAGTGACTCAGTTAGATTTTGAAGAAAGCTCCTTAACTAAAACGAAGATAACCAAGGAAGGTGAGTCACAGACAAAACCAATTGGGGGTAAAATAGAATCAAAAGTTCGAAAGAGCATGAAAGAAAAACAAACAATGATTCAGAAAAGATTTGAACTGCGAGTCCTTATCGAGATTAATAGAGCTCTTAAGTCCCACAACAATATCGTATGCAAGAGTGACTACTTAGTCCAGCTAGTTAAAGCTAAGAAAGGCAGCATGGATAGCATTACTGTCTCGCAGAAATTCAAAGACAGCTGTGGAGAAGACCTTTATATTGAACCATACAAAAGGCCGTAAAAATTATGCAAGTCCTTCAAAATTATCTCTTTGTGGCCTTTAAAAATTTATTTATAAAAATTGTATTAAAAAAAGTAAATATAATCATGTTAAAAATTGAAATGTTAATCTTTCATTGTCCAAGCATATTTAAGTGTGGGTGTTAAAAATGACATAGCAAGATCAATTTAATTAAGATCTAGGCTTTTTTTACCCATAATTTCTCATCTTGCAAAACTCAAAACTACTGTAGTACCCGGTTAACCGAAATAAAGGGGGGAGAGCCATTTCGGATAACCAATTTTTCACTTAACCCCTCATATGCTAAAAATAGCCTATGTATTACCACATTGAGTTGGAAAATAGATTTAAAACCATGTCTACATAATACAGTAACCACAGCTAAAATTTGGTTGTTTAATTTTAGCTACAGAAATGTGACAATGGGCTAGAAAATACTTTGAACTAAACAACTGATGTTACTACTGATATCAGTGTGGTAATGGCATTGGAATTACTTATATTTTAGTCCTGTATTACTTATGGAACCGTTTTGGTTAACCCGGGTTTCGGTTAACTCGAATTCGGTTAACCGGGATTCTACTGTAAATTATTTAAATTTTAAATATCATTCTTATTAAATTTACATAAAAATACTACCCCCGCCCCCACAGCTGCAAACATGCAAACTGTAAAAATTTCTATGTCAGATTTTTTTACAAAAATATTTCGTCAAATGTCAGATTTATTCCCTTTTTAAATTAGGTTTTGATATTTGTATCCTCCAGACTCAATATGAACTACAAAAAAGACTTATAAATGAATCTTTGTTCATTTTATACTAGTGGCTTGTAGGGACATAAGTCCCTAAAAAGCTCAAATGTAAAACAACTTTTTGCAATACCGGTATTTAAACAAACTCAGAATAACATTATCTATGTGTCAGAATAGGCATCCCTACACCATATCTTTTGTGTAAAAACCAGTTTGTTGTTCTTCTTTGTTTGCTTTTGTTGATGTCATTTTCAATAAATAATTTGAATCACTCCAGTGGTTTAACATGAAAAGGCAGCAAACATATCATTGTTTGTGAATAAATACTGGTTTACTAAGGTAGCTTTGGTCTTGTGGTTAATGAGGATAAATAAAAGCTTCCCTGTTTGGAATTTTAAAAATTCATTGGAGGTTCGCCTTCAGATGAATTGAAGACGCCTGCAATTTCATCTGCAGTAGGCTTATTATACCTACGACAAACCATATTTATCCTGTCTACAAACCTAAGTTCTAATTCACTGTCACCTTGTACAACCATTTCTTCCGAAGCTCTTTTAAAAATTTGTGCAAATGGATTTTCTAATAGAATTTCAGCTAGTTTTGACAATATTTCAGCAGCCAGATGTAATGAAATAAGCTAGGACAAAGAGAAAGAGTAAACAAGTCTGGGATTACGCAAGTAGCTAAGTGCTAGTTCAATATTAACAACCTCTGACTGAAACAAAGGCACTGCAACTACTGTGCAAAAGAGTTGAGTCATAGTTATAGTAAGTCATCAAATGTCTTTTAGCATAAGGCTTTTACAAAAAAATATAACAGTATCAGCAATCTGACAAATACTTTCTCCCATAAGCTTGCCAACAACCTTTATCATCATTTATTACTACCCTGATAAGTAAAAGTAATATTAATAAGTACTTATTATTACCCTGATAATAGTAATAACAGTAATAAGTATGACCACCCCCAAAGCCCGGATAAAAAAAAAATGGTTTTATCAATTAGTTTTCATTACATTTAACTTATATATCATTTTGGTGGCAAATATGACCTTTTTTAGGATTTAGGCTTATTTTTAGGTTCCACTCAAATAAGAGCCACCCGGTGTACAACATCTACATAAAACATGTTACCATAGTCACTACACGTCTCACTTCAACCATCTACAACACTAAAAACATGTGTTTGCACTGTTTAGGTTAGTTTCCGGTAGGGATGGTCAAGTCTCGAAATTTCGGGAAATTTTCGGGAAATTTTAAATCTCGTTACACGAGACAAGATTTCTTTTTGGCCGAGATTTTTATCGAGACGAGAATTAAAAAAAAAAAAAAAAAAAAAAAAAAAATTAAAAACGCCTGCAGAAAGTCAATGCAATACCCGCAATACAGGAGCGTGTTGTAATTGCGTTTCCTTTGCGAAGGCGTTCTTATTTAATTAATTCTTTAAATGTAAATATTACTTTAATAACATTTGAGAAGTTTTGTTAAGTGTAAGCAGTGTGAGGAATGTTTTATTACTATAAAAAGTCAAAACAAGTAACTATTTTATAAAAATTAATATTGCTTTTATTTTATGATTTATTCTATTTTAGGATAAGTTGAACTCTATCCTAACTGATATCACTATGTTTCCTAATCGTAGGCCTTTTTAATAAGTTAGGCGTGATTAATAAAAAAATGTTATGCTGATGTTTTTTAATAAAAGATTGTAAATATTCTTGCCTATTATCATTATTTTTGTATTTAAACAGTCATCCAACAATGTTACAAAATCAGGTAAAAATTTTGAACGTGCATTTTCCGTTGTGTATGAGATGGGAAATCCCGTCTCGATCTCGTCTCGAAATTTTATGAGAAATAAAAAATCTCGTCTCGTCTCGTCTCGAACTAAAAATCCAATCTCGTCCATCCCTAGTTTCCGGTTATAAAAAACTGACCGGCTGAGAGTCAGCTGTGGTTGTTCAGGAGTATAAACATAGCAGCACTGTATTTACCTTATAAGTCAAAAAACCCAGAGACCATACATACAGTATATGTGGCCGTTTCCCTATAGACCGCTACAAAAGTTTCAAGTCTCTAAAATAGACGGGTATCTCACAATCGTCCATTTAATCGCACAGTAACACCGGCTCATATTAGAGCCCCCGGTCTATTTCGAAGGACCCAAGCGGCTCAGATCTGAGATGGCGGACTATTTTGACAGAACAGCCGACTCATAAACTGAGCCAGCCGGGCTATATTTTTTATTTTGCTTACGTAGCGAACGTGAAGTTGGACAATATTTGTAGCAAGCTGGGTACTTTTCATATACCTTTTGGTAGATATAGATACCTTCGTTTGCTGTATGATACCTCTAGCACACCAGATATATTTCATTCTACTGTATCTCAAATATTTGAAGGTATTGATGGTGTAGTCACCTACATAGAGGACATTTGCATAGGTGCTCCTGATAAGCAAACATATATTTTAAGGTTAAAAGAAGTATTAAAAAGAGCTATGAGTTTTAATATTAAGTTCAATTCTAGTAAATGTAAATTTTCTGAGAGTGAAGTATTGTTTTTGGATCTTCAGTTTGCTCAGTATGGTATTCAATGATCATAGCATTACACATAGTAGCCTATAATTAAATCAACCCTATGTGTGTCATTTTTATTCAAATGCTGAATGTTTATAGCTGTTATGTTAAGCAAATGGTATTATACCAAAAGCTAGTCTAAAATGTTAGCATCGGCTGCTAGAAAAAAAAAACAAACTTAATAACTGATACCCTAAACTAAAACTATGGCTTTCGACATTCCCTAGTTCTAAAAACTATCTTTCTTTCAACACAAAAATCATGAAAACCATTAAGTGGTAGATTTAGAATTGTGAAATAAAAAAAAATCCTGTCACGTTTTAATATATATATATATGATGAGGATGATGATAAGGAGAAAGAATTGTTTTTGTAAAGAATTTGAGTTTAGAGTTTTGGGTGGAAATATCCGTTTTGTGTCTGTATGTCTGTGTACAGAACTACAGACTATAACCAAGCACTGATACGACTGTACGCGCACTGTACTTATAACTACACTTAGTATAAGTGTACTTATACCACGCTTGACGACTATACCTGTGGTCCAATTTTGATTTTCAATTATTGGTTACTAATCTGGTTAAAAACAGGTGCTAAACAAAAATAACTTTCATAACATATATATTTTTACACAGATATAAAAATTACATACACAGTCTTATTTATTTATTTAGCTACTTAACAATTTTATTTACAAATATAAAAATAGGTAATGTAGTTTTTGTGACAGCTACCTAGTTTTATAAAATAAATAATTACAAGAAATTTGAGCATAATTACATAAATTGATATAAAAAATAATACGCCCAGAATATTGGCGATCTTCAAAACACAATTATTAAAACTCTTGAAGTAGGCCTACAAATAAGATATAATTTCATTTGTTTCAAATCAAAGTTCATTTCAAAGTTTTCAACCTTTTATTTACAAATAGGCCTACATATTTACTCATATTTAAAACTTAAAGAGTCCTTGGAGCCTAGACGTTCTAACTCGTTAAGCAATTAAAAAACTTCAAAGAAAATTTATAATCTGACAGTATACTAGATATTTCAGTTACAATCACACTGGCGTTTGGGAAAATATTTTGAGATGGTCAATAACTCCTCAGCAGCTGTTTGAAATTAACCAAATTAACATTGCTTTTATGGCGGGCAAATCCAAGATGGCCGCTAGCTTCCATGGACTCCCTTGGACAACAATTAAAAACTAAAAAGAACATTTCTAATCTCACAGTTTACTAGATATTTAAATTGTGATCACTTTGGTGTTATATTTTTCGACAATAAATAACCCTTCAGCGGCTGTTTGAATTATCCAAGATGGCCACTAGCCTCCAAGGACTCTAAACACTTGATCAAATTATGTACCAAAATGTATTAGTAAAACAAAGTTATGTAGGCCCTACTTCATTATGGATATGATTAAAGATTTGTCAAGTTAACATAACTTATGGCCTATAAATTGATTGTGACATATTCATATTATACTTTAGAGCAAACCATCTACTTCAGCAGGACTAATGTAAATGGATCAAGCAAATATTCACATCAAATTAGATACAGTTGTCATAAACTCAAAGAAATTTAAAAAAAACAGATAAACATAACATACCAACAAACTTTCAGGGGGCTAAAAATTATATTTAAAATTTACCTATTTAAAATTTACCTCTACAACACATGTATTTAAATACTCCAATGTCCAGCTGACCTGGAAACCGGGAATTGTATTTGAATTTTGATGAAGTCGAAAAAATCCATGAACCGTGCAAGAATTTTGTAAATAACCATTAAGTTGAAAATCACGACTGCAGGAAACTATCACGAATAACGGACATTACCGAGATTGCAAGAAATATCTTGAACAATTCCGCAGTAACCATAAATAATCACAGATGTTGTCGCAATCTCCGGAAATCATCACGGATGTTGCCGCGATCGGGGGATATTATAATAAATCTCGCCACGATTGCAAGATAATCTCAGATTTGGTCGTAATAGCAAATAATTGTCTCAGGAGTTAAAAATAATAGCTGGAGAGGATTGCGGACATTGCCACGATCGTTGTTACCATCACGGTATATGATCACAGTTATTGCCGTGATCATGAGAAAATCAAAGGAGTAGACAATGATCCACGGGAGGATAAATGGATGTTGCTGGGATCAAAAGATATTATAGTGTGTGTTACCCTGATCGCAAGAAATTATCACACATTTTGCTGCGATCGCAAGTAATGGATGTCCGAGACATCGTGAGAAATCATCAGGGGTCCATGAACGTCGCAAATTGTATACGAAAATTTGGTCCTAAAAAAGATTCAATTAATTCATTTAATCTGAATATATTTAGATGACAATAAATTTTACCTGAATGACACTTCTAAGCTAGAAAATTGGTATCAAACTGAACATTTTATTTAAACTATAAACCGTTCTCTGCTGATTGACCAAGACAATTACTATTACAAGATAACAATTAATTGATGGAATAATATTAATGTTTTAAATATTGGTGACATGAAATAATTTAACAGTTAATTGAAAAAATCAAGAAAACTGAGATTTAAACCATTTAGCTTCTCGTGCCAAAGCGTGGTAGCAAGGCACTCAACACAAGAAAGGTTCAGTTACCTTTCAGTAAACAAGGAGAAGATCGGTTACATTCCGTTGTATGCGGGACCACCCCCTCCTTCAGGCACCACCCAGTTGATGTTCTGTGTGGGGTCCTTGATGTCACAAGTCTTGCAGTGGATGCAGTTCTGTGCATTGATCATTAGTCGCTGACCATCCCCTGACTCCTGGGCCACATACTCGTACACTCCTACAAGACACACAGAGTATAGTGAGTGCAGGCAAGGTCATAACCCAGTTGTTGTTTTGTGTTAGGTCCTTGATGTCACAAGTCTTGCAGTGGATGCAGTTCTGTGCATTAATCATCAGCTGCTGGCCATCCCCTGACTCCTGGGCCACGTACTCGTACACTCCTACAAGACACACAGAGTATAGTGAGTGCAGGCAAGGTCATAACCCAGTTGTTGTTTTGTGTTAGGTCCTTGATGTCACAAGCCTTGCAGTGGATACAGTTCTGTGCATTAATCATCAGCTGCTGGCCATCCCCTGACTCCTGGGCCACGTACTCGTACACTCCTACAAGACACACAGAGTATAGTGTGTGCAGGCAAGGTCATAACCCAGTTGTTGTTTTGTGTTAGGTCCTTGATGTCACCAAGTCTTGCAGTGGATACAGTTCTGTGCATTGATCATTAGTCGCTGACCATCCCCTGACTCCTGGGCCACATACTCGTACACTCCTACAAGACACACAGAGTATAGTGAGTGCAGGCAAGGTCATAACCCAGTTGTTGTTTTGTGTTAGGTCCTTGATGTCACCAAGTCTTGCAGTGGATACAGTTCTGTGCATTAATCATCAGCTGCTGGCCATCCCCTGACTCCTGGGCCACATACTCGTACATAACACACAGCCATTGTTGTTAACACAACAATAACACAACATTATGAGCATATTTAAGATTCCCCAAGAAAAACACACCAACTAACAAAGGTACTTCTTTGAACAAGGGCACTTCTTTGTATGTAGTATATACTGGGAGGAGGGTTGATTTCAAATTAAAAAAGTTAAGCACAATTTATAGTTAATGAGAAGAATAAATGTAACTTCCCAGATCAATAACTCAAGTGCTAGATTTAGTTTTAAACATGATGTTTGAAGTAGGTTACCAGCTGGACAGAAGCGTCCCTCGGGCCCGTCGTAGATAGCCAGGTTGTGTTTGACAGGGACAGTGTCATCCATGAGAGTCAAGTGAGGAGGTTGGTCTGCCTCGTGGTTAGTGCCTGTCAGAGCTACAGATGAGTTGAGGTCAAAGCTGATCACACCGTCTGGCTTGGGGTACTCAATAGGCTTACACTCCTTGGCTGGCTTGAGTCTACCATGGTCTGCACCTGCAACACCACAACTGTTTCAGCAAAAAATTGATTGTTATAATTTTAAGTTTATTTTTTAACATTAATTTTGGACAAATTGGGGGAATAAACAACACAAGGTAGATGCGTTCTGGAAAAGTGCAGGTTAAAGTAAAATTGGGTAAAGTGAGAACTGTCGTTGCTGACAAAGTACCCATTATTTAACTACACAGCATTTGGTTTGAAAGTAGATTTATAGATTTTGGTGTAGGTTTGACCATGAATCAAAAAAAATTTGAATAAGATTCTTGAAAGATAATGAATGAAGTAAGTTTTAAATAATGCTCCAAGATGTAAAAGAGAACTAATAGAATATGTTTGACATTTCAACAGCACATGAATTGCTGCACATATACACAACTACTTATGTATCGAGCTTTGGATAATTTTTACTATGTACTTCTACTAGAGAGTTGAGATAACTTGCCCAGCCTTAATGAACGGTTTCATATTAAACCTATGGAACAAGAGGAATGCAATAGAGAAAGATAGGTAAAAAGGTCATGAGTACATCCACCGTAACCTTTGATGAAACAAAAATTGTAAATGGTTGATGTGCACTGAATTTGTTTTGTGGGTAGTGGCTTAGTTGAAACAGCTTTTTGTTGCTGCTTAGTTCAAATTAGCTGTTGTCATAAATGGGAAAAAAAATTAGTGCTGCACCCTGTGGGTAAACCTTAGAACTTTTTAATGCTATTGCATATCATGGAACCAATTTGTTTAGTTGAAACAGTTGACTAAATTCTTTAATTACTTTATAAGGTTAATGTGGGAAACTATACTGGGGCGGAGCCTGAAAGGATTTCTGAGATAAGAATAGGCCTATATGTTAATCGGGAATGTAAGCTATCATCATGCCAAATTTCAGCCCAATCCGTCCAGAAGTTAATGCGTGATTAAACTTCAAACAAACAAACACCCAAACTTTCACATTTATAACTCAGAATGTTATAAACATCTGAGTACCGGTACTAATAAAATAGTAAGATTTGCTATTTTAAATGTAACTATGTGTCCTTAGGGGAGGGTTTATCGAAAAATTAATATTATGCAGGGAAGTTTCACATCAAGACCTTTCATTTAAGTATGTGGTTGATAAGTGTGCGGCTTACGGTTTTCTCAAATGTTAGTGTTCCTTATTAGCTTTATACATAGATAATCCAAGGTATGGTTGTTTGGGGTGAATTTCCATTTTAAAAATTGGTTTGTTTGTACCACCAATTGATTTACCTCCATGTGAGAGGGTCCATGGTTCTCGACCCCCGGTCAGGAGACTGAACCCTGAGTAAGCCACGCCTAAGTACAAGCCGAGGGGGTTGTGGAAGGATGGACGGAAGTTGCGGACCTTATACAGCTCTTTCCATATCCAACTGTCCTTGATCTTCTGTGTGTAAGACACAGGCTCCAGACCTGTATGACAAAGCATCTCACTTTAAAATCTGTTGCCCTAAATTTTATTTAACATATTGGATACGGTGAAAATATCAGTGGGTGCTTCCCCGGGGCCTGACCTTTTTTCATAAAATCTTACATTTTGTTACCAAAAGTGAGGATTCAGGTCGGACATGGTGTTTTGAGCCTTTTCCCCCCAAAAAAATTGCATCCAAAATCGCCCGTCACCGGTGACCGGGCCGGCCCGCGCAATGACGATCGTCTATAGTAAAAAATGTTAAAAAAACACAATAAAAATGTTAAAATACTTTATTTAAAATTATTTACAGCCCCTTCCTCCTTCCAATCCATTGTTTTAGCGAATTTCCCTATAGGGAAGTAGCTATTACCGTAGGTCTCATGGTAAGACTTAGGCCCGGGACCGATTTACTTTTTCATTTTAATGTCCCCAGAGGCCAAAAACACCATTCGTTCAAATTTTTATATATGTATATATATATATGTGTCCGTGAACACGATAACTTGAGTAATTTTTATCTGATTTTGATGAAATTTGGTTTGAAGGTGTAAGGCGGGATAAACTTGAATGAGTTCGCGATCCAGCATGATCGGACCATGGGAACAGGGTTTTATGGGGGGTTTTATGGGGTAAAAATTGGGTTTTCTCACTTCTTACCCTTAAAACACAAAATTTCCCAATTTTTCTCTAAACCTTTTTAAAGAGCTTAAAAAAACAAACAATTCAGTATACCAAAGTGTTTTTGTACGGTTATTGGTTACGGAGAAAACTAAAAAAATGGTAAATTTAAAATTCCCATGTTATTCTTATGGAGAATATTGTAAAATGTTGTAGTTTGCTTGTTTATGGATATATTTTGATCAAACTTGGCAAATTTATTTATTTTATGGTAAGCTATCAATATTTTACTAAAAACACACTACTTTATTAGTTTCCTTGTAGCAGCAAACCTAGGTACTCGTTAAACCTAATGTTATTTAAATAGATCAATTAATTGAAAATCAATTCCAAATGGAAATTCGCTTGGACGGCAGGTTTGCTGCGGCGGGGGTATTTTTACACTCAAACTGCGTCAAAGTTTCTAATGTTGAAGAGTTCATTTTTATTTAGTCACAAAAACTAAACTAATAAACAATAAATAATGTTGTGTCAAATAATAGTCAAAAAACTGAAAAGAAGTACCTCAATAACTGTGCCATTGTTAAATTTGTAAGTAGGAATTTTCAGGTCATAAGTGACCAACACCAATCCGTGCGAACAGCGGGCGAAGCACACACAATAGAGGTTAGGTTATGCTAGTAACGCACACACAATAACTCCTGTCTACTCCTCAAGACTGCACCACAATGACTGATTCATTTCAGCGGTACCTTTGGCCATATATTTTTCAGGAGGGGAAATAATTTAAGTGCTAAGCAAAGGTATTGCAGTTTAGCAAAGCTTGTTGATACCAAAAGTGTTCAATGATTTATTATTTTCCCATGCTTTTCGACCTTGTCACTTACCCAGCCACATCATGTACAGTTTAGGTCAGATAATAGGGACTCCAATTTGGTAAACTCTGTTTTGGAAATTGTAACAGTAGACTTCTGTTTTGAGATATTTATTTACTAAGTACCTTGAGTGGTTGAGGCCTCTTCACTGGTAACAACCTCGTAGGCGCTCTCAGCCGCCAACATACCACTCTTCATGGCATTGTGGGTACCTTTGATCTTTGGTACATTGAGGAACCCAGCACTACACCCCACCAGACAGCCTCCGGGGAATGTTAGCTTGGGCAGGGACTGGAACCCACCCTCATTGAGGGCTCTGGCACCGTAGGCTATCCTGAACAACAAACCATTACATTCTAGACAACAATCAGTTTGCAACATCACAGTCTAATAAGCTTAAAGATCAAAATAAAATTTTTGGTATTGGACAAATATACTTACCGTCTCACCTGACATACAACAATTTAATTAGTAGGGAGATTCTATTTTAAGGATGCATTTAAATATGTATTCATCACTAGTTGTCCGAAAATTAGACAAACAATATTTACCTTATTCAACTAAAATAAACTGTTCTTTTTCGCTCCTTACTTAACACTACAGTAGACTCCCTCTCGTTCGGCCATCTCGGGACCGAACCACCGGCCGAACTAAAAAATGGCCGAACTAACCGATGATATATAAAGAAGACTACTTTTTCTGCCGTAAATGGACTTACTGTACAGTATAAGGGATCTATACACTAAACTAAACCTAATTAATAAGACTAGGCTTAGGCTAAGTGTAGATTTTAAACTTACCCTCAGAAATGTTGGTATTGTTTAATGAAAACACGTACTGAACACTTGACACTGTACTGACATTATTCATTTATTTCACACACAATAAACATAAATAATGTAGGCCTAAATACAATAAAAAAGAATCCACACAACACTGAAATTTTACAGGAATGATGTTTAAACTACAGTACTGCACTGTAATGACAAAGTTTAAAAGAAATCAGTAATTTTTCGCTGTACCTTTTCTTCAGTTGATTTCTTTCTAGCATAGTCACGCCATTTTCTAAAAAGCATTAAGTCAACTGCTGTAGAACTCGTCTGCTGTTCGATGTAGGTTGTAGCCAGTTGCAGGGCTGCCATTCCCTCTGCGTGACTCATTTTACACTCGTCGTCCTCATCACGGTCGCCACCTTCTTCTTCTTCTTCTCCTTCTTGGGTTTCTTGACGCTGTAAAACTGATTGAGCGATTTCTTCGTCGTTCAAAATTTCATTGTCCACCTCCTTTTCGACAGATACCCACTCCAAAACATCTTCAAGCTCAACATTTTCACTGTGAGGCAATTGCTGTAAATTATTTAGGATGTAAGCTTGGTCGTCTGCTTCACTTTCAAGGTTGTGCACATCAACAACATTGCCTTCACTTGCAACAACTTCTTCAACATTCGGCCATACCTTTCTCCACGACTTAACTAATGTTGAAGGTTGTACTTCGTCATAGGCCTTCGCTACCATGAAAATCACGTCCTTCATGTTGATTGTCTTTAAAACCTTGATGAGATCGGTGTTTTCGTCGCTATCCAGTTTGTACAAAACTTCTGAAAGAAGCTTTCGACGATACTTTCTCTTGAAACACTCTATTACCCCTTGGTCCATTGGCTGTTGGAGGCTTGTTACGTTGGGGGGCAGGTAGTACAGTTTTATTCCAGACTCGCCATCACATTCTAACTCATCCGGATGGGTAGGCGCATTGTCAAGAACAAGAAGTGCGTTTACAGGGAGTTTTAAACTTATCAAACGACTTTTTAATTTAGGCACGAACTCACTAATAAACCACTCTTTAAACAAATACGAGTCCATCCAAGCAGACTTCTGAGCCCGGTAGTACACTGGTAGTTTTGATACGTCCAAGTTTTTGAATGCTCTCGGTTTTGCTGATTTTCCGATTACAAAAAGGGGCAATTTATGCGTACCCGAAGCATTGGAGCAAAGTGCCACTGTGATCCTATCTTTACTGACCTTAAACCCAGGGGCAGACATTTCTGTTGCTGCAGCAAATGTTTTCCGTGGCAAGAGTTTATAGTACAGCCCTGTTTCATCGATATTATAAACCTGTTCCGGGCTTAGGTTATTCTCAGCAATAATTTGCTCAAATTTCTTTGTAAACTCAGCTGCACCAGCAGGGTCTGCCGACAGCTTTTCACCACACACCCCAAGAAAATGTACCCCGTGTCTTTTTTTCCAACGGGAAAGCCATCCCTCACTTGCGACAAATTCCCCCTCCTCACCAAGTTTCCCATGCAAGATAACCGCCTTCTCCTTTAAGATAGGGCCACTGATCGGCGTTCCCCTTCTTCGTTCCTGCATAAACCACACCCAAAGAGCATCGTTCACCAATTCATTTTTAGGTTTTTTTAAAGTGCAACGTGATGAAAGAGCTTTTTCCGATTCAATCTGCGTACAAAAATCCTCGATCGATTTTCGGTTTCGACGCCAGTCATTCACGGTGCTTTTACCAACCCCCAAATCTGTACAAATACTTTGGAACGATTCACCTTTGTCTATTCTCTCTAGAGCTTGCAACCGCTGTTGCATTGTCACAAATGTACGTTTTCGTTTAGCACTCATAACAATGTAAAGTACGTACAGTCACTTATAAGTTAAAGTTCAGTTAACAAAACACAATTAAATCAGTTCACTAAGTCACAACAACTAATGTGTACACACGAACGTCCGGTACTGTACTGAACAGTGAACACGTGTGCAGTGAACTAGAGCTAAAACGGAAGTCAGATTCTTATCTGCTTCCGTTTTATAGATACACAATTTAAAAAAACTCTATCCAGGCGGCCGGCCGAACCATCCGGAGGCCGAACCAACCGAGGCCGAACGAGAGGGAGTCTACTGTAATACCGAAACCCCACCTAGGCTGACGTTAACCGAAACCCCGGTCTGTGAGACCCCATTTGAAAAATAATGGACCCGCTTAGAAACACACAAACCGAAACCCTCGGTCTGTGAGATCCCGCTTTAAAATACACTAACGCTGGGCTTCTGAGACGGACATGTTATGAACAAACAACCTGTCAAGGTCATGGCACCCATGCAAAATGAACAAACGATATATCAATAGGTAGGGGAGGAAAAGGGGGGAAGGTATTGGGGGAATGGAATCATCAAACTCAAATCATCAAACTCAAGAAGCTAAATCAAGCCCAATTAAGAAATGCAAGATAAAATCTGCTGATGTGATAGAATCAACTGACCAGGCGGAACAAACAGTACATTTATTTGCAGACAGCCATGGAAGAGGGCTGTCTGATATCATTAACACTTATTTGCCTTCCACTAAAAGAATTGTTTCCTGGGTTAAACCTAATGCAAGAATTGACGATATACTTGACTCAGCTGATCTAAAAAGTTTCACACCAAAAGATAAGATAGTGTTTATGTGTGGTACAAATAATGTTGAAATTCATAGTGTAGAACACATTTGCAATATGTTGAAGATGGCCACCAAACTCTGTAATACAAGCATCTGGCTCTGTACACTACCATACCGACATGACATTCCGAGTAACAGTGAACTTCACTTAAAAAATATTTTTGATAAATAACTACATATGGAGACTCTCTGAAGAAAGCAGCAACATTGATATCATTGACATGTACTTAATAGAAAACAAATACTTCACTGAACATGGATTGCATCTATCAAACAAGGGAAATCATTTTTGGGCAAAATGATTGCTAATGCAGTTGCTGGTCTAACACCTACCATGCCCTCACATGATGATTCCAGAACTGGACTATCATATTCCCCTCAAGAAAAATCTCAAACCCCCCAAAACTCTGATGAATCTGACAGTCAGGCTATAACAAGCAAATCAAATAATGCCATGCTCTGTGGCGCTCTTCCTACTCATCTTTCTGGAACCAAACCCACAATACCTGAACCTAGTCTTAATAGAAAAAAATCCAAGATAAGATTTATTAATGCCAACATGAACAATTTCATCAACGATTTCAAAAACCATCAGGACACGGCATTTGCTCACTCTATCTCTGCGGACATCTCCAGTGATAGACAGATGAGCGCTGGAGTGGCTGTTGTTTTTAAAAATCACATTGGCAAACCAAGTTCATCAGACCTTTTAACGGACCACCTAACTTGTCAAAGAGTAACTAATGGTGCTACAGTGTACGGTTTGGTGACCAAAGACATCTATTACAGCAAACCTACAGAAGATTCTTACAACATGGCTTTCAAAACACTGACAGATGATTTTAAAAAACAAAGCCTCAAGAGACTCATTTGCTCCCCCATGGGGTGTGTGAGAGATAACATATCACTCGACATTTTTGCCAATAATATTGTCAATTTTCAACGCTTGACCGGAGCCTCTATGAATAGCTTTTCATAAAAAATCATCACGGCCTCTGTGGAGCGGGCAGACTTTTCCACTGTTTCTTAAAGTTTTGTGTTCTGCTATCTCAACAGCTGAGCGGAAATCAGAAGAACAGACGAGAGAAAACCTAGATGTAAACAACTGTGGAAATAAAATAACTACAGAATCTGCAAAAAGTTCCCCAACAGGTAACCAAGAATCCCAGACATGTACCATCACAACACCTTCTACAAACTCTCCTGGATTTAAAGGTTGGGAAACTCCCGACTCAATAAAAAGCATCGAGCTAAGCAATTTTTTAAGCAAACTTTCTACTAGTCCCAGCAATACCAACAACACAACAGAATCAAATGACATTCCTAAGGACCTGGTAACAACGGACAATTCACCACCTGCATCTGCTCAACCACCCTTGAGACGCTCTAAAAGAACCGGCATCAACAAAACGTTAGGTGTAAAAAGTCTGCAAAATTGTAAAAATAATACTAAGTTAGCATGTAAGCAAAATAGTTTTTTAGGCTGACTTCAGACACATCAGGACAAATAAATAGTGAAATTGTAATACTATCTTTAAGTATTCAATCATTAAGGAACAAATTAAACCATCTTGAAATCATTCTTAACCAAACCCTGTCAAATATAGTATGCTTAAGTGAGCACTGGCTTACTAATGAAGAAATTAACTTTTATGTCCCAGAAAATTTTGAATTAGGCACAAATTATTGTCGTCAATTTCCACTGATTCATGGAGGTACTGCAATTTATGTTAAACGTTGTGTAAATTTTGAAAAAATAGATTTGTCTGATTTTAGCTTTAACTTTTTACTTGAGGTATGTGCTGTTAGATTGTTAGATTATGACTTATTAGTTTTATCTATTTATCGTACCCCTGATTCAAGCTTTACAGAGTTCTGTAGAAAATTGGA